ATTATTGAACATCAGTAACATAGAAAGTTTTTAAAGTAGGCCTGAAGAATATTCATACATGTTCTGTTATGGCCCCAAATGATGCCTGGCTGCTGCATCGTGTCCATTCAAGCCCCCTGACCTTTCCTCAGGCTCTCTTTTCCTGGATTTTTCTTCCTCCCACAACCCAATTTGTCCTCATGGGAAATTCCAACTCATCTCACTGGGAAGCATTCCCTGAAACTGTCTTCTCCCACACAAGGAGCAATTTTGATGTCTGTTTGTAATGCTAGTACTTGGAACAGTGCACATGGAATATGTTCAAATAGACGGATTTTGAAAAGTACTTAGAGCCTAGAAAGTGTCCAATAAATAGTTGTTGAATGAATGAATAACAACTGAAGGATAAGACTAAATTCTCAATTTTCTGTCTTTTAATGCTGCTCTGTGGTGCATATACAAATTAGGAAATAACTGGAAAAGAGTGAAAAGAAAGAGACCTTGGACAACATGAGCTTAATTGTCATCTTCAGATCCAAGGTCATATTGGATCATCTGAAGATCCAAGATTGGTCATTCTAAGATCCAGGATCCAATACGACCTTTGATCTTAAGATGACAATTAAGCCCCATATAATGGGGAGCTCTCCTCTTCCTCAGTGCAGGCAGGATCAGTCCGTATTTCAAAGATCCTGAGCTACCTACAACTACTTATTCAAGTCCTTAAACTACATTTCCAAACATTAAACCTAAGTTATCTTTTTTTTTTTTTTTTTTTTTGAGATGGAGTCTCATCCTGTTGCCCAGGCTACGCTGTAGCAAATTTTAAAGTCTGCAGTAACCACACTAAAATGAATACAAGGGGGTCTCTAACCTTTTAGCTAATTTCTCCAAGTTAGTCTGGCTCCTACTGTTAATATATGGTGAATATATGCCCTCATATCTTGGTGACAGCAGCATTTAAGCCTCAGTAGGTATGATAAGAAGTATAGTGTACACGAGTCGAGTGGAAAGATTAAAGAGAGAATATACTTCATATGTGTCCTCAGTAAGGCCTGATTTTATTCTTAAATTGAGAAAAAAAAAATGAAAAAATTTCCGCTTCCAAGACAGAACCGTATTCTACACAATCATTGAAAAGTAGTTTTTAATTACACCAACTAGGTCTGAATCTTGTTATCTTGTGCCTTGCTAAAGAGCTACTTTCTGCAGGCAGCTCAAGACTTTACAGAAACTGTCATTCATTCTTAGGATGTGGTTGCTAGGTCATTCTCTGCTTAAATACCAGGATATTCTCTCACTTCTAGGAAAGAAATGGCCCCCCTGAGAGGTTTGACCTGATAATGATGACACATTATACTAACAATACAAATTATAGCAAACCTTTATCTGTAGTCAACTCAGTTAAAAATGATTCCCTTAACAGGTGCTGTAGTAAAATTTTGTTCTCATATAGCAATTATTTGAGAGTCTCAAATAACTTCATAAAAATAAGTGCTATCACCTGCTCACTTCCAATAGGTTGACTGTAGTTGAAAGTTCATTTCAGTGTTAAGAGTTAATATCTTCTCCTCCCCCAACACGTTGGCTGGCTCTACACCTTTTACTGATGCCAGTAATGACATTGAATCATGCCAAGCTGTACTATGCCCTTCATTCCTTCTTATCAGAATGTTATAAATGAGCATTACATTTTCCAAAGCTTTGCGGTTTGTTGTGTTGGATTGCCTCCTGGCATGACTCAGAACAGAAACTAAGTTCAGCTTGCTTCTTGATAGTGTAAAGGTTTTTTGTTTGGGTGTTTTTTTTTTTTCTTTTCTTCTCTTTTTTTTTTTTTTTTTTTTTAGAGATGGAGTCTTGCTGTGTCACCCAGGCTGTAGTGCAGTGGTGCAATCTCGTCTCACTGCAACCTCCGCCTCCCTAGTTCAAGCAATTCTCCTGTCTCAGCCTCCCAAGTAGCTGGGACTGCAGATGTGTGCCACCATGCCCGGCTAATTTTTGTATTTTTAGTAGAAACAGGGTTTCACCATGTTGGCCAGGCTCGTCTCATACTCCTGACTTCAGGTGATCCACCTGCCTCAGCCTCCCAAAGTGCTTACAGGCATAAGCCACTGTGCCCGGTCAAAAGTTTTTTGGTTGTTTTTTTGGAGTTTTTTTTTTTTAACCTTTCTTTTTTCTCCTTTAAAAATTTTTAAATGATAGCAGATCTGATTTCACATGTTTCTCTTCTAACATTTATTTTTCATTGATATGTAACATGGGAGCTTACCAAGGTCTGTCATATCATATTTAAAGTAATGATTTCTAAGTATAAAGCATCAGAGTTGTAAACAGACTCAGCTGATAAGCTTCATTAATTCTTGCCGCTTGATCTTTCTATTTTTCAACGATATTCCAATTTGATTTCAAAGAGCATTTCTATATCTTTGTAATGAAGATTGCCAATTTTCATGGATTTCAACTTTTTTCTTTCATAGGTCATAAGAGGAGACAAGTTCTGGGGAAAACTATTTAAAACCCACACATCAACATCAAAACAAAACTACGACATGAAGTCTGTTTTCTGTAGTCAGTTAGAAAAGACTGTAAACTGATAGGCCAGTGCAGGAAAATACTGACTCAAATTAATTCAATTTAATTTGAATCAGTTAATTCAATTAAGTTCAGTAATGTTTACTAAGAACTATTATATAACAAGCACTGTGCTAGGCACTTAAGGCACACAAACAGGCGTAAAAGGTAGTACCAGCCTTCAGGAAGCATGTAATCTACTTGGAAATACTGAAATGTACCTACTTAACCATCGTGTGGGAATGGCCTAATGATTGAAGGTATGCAGATGTAAGAAGGAGCAGCCAAATCCGAACTGGGGGATCCGGGAAGGCTTCATTCACCAGGAAGGATAACAATTTCTGGCCCATAAAGGATCTTGTATTATATCTTCACCTTCGTGATAAAACTGAGTTGCCCAGGCCACATTCACCTCTGGGCCCAGTTGAGGCCACACTCACCTAATTTGTCTCATTTTACTGGCTCATGCCGTTGTGTGTGAACCGCATCTCTACTTCTGCTGTAAAGCTTTACCCTGTTATTTCTGAACACTCCTTGGATAAGTTATGAAACTTGATAATACTGTCTCCATAGAATTGCTGTATTAAATGAGACAATGTGTAAAAATTTATGGAATACTTGTTACTATTTTATACTTGCATTATCTAACCCATCCAAAATAATTGACTGATGACCCATTGAGAGAAGTGAGGTAAAAGAGATAGGAAGCAAAGCCCCATTCCTCCTCCAGACAAACTTCGCTTTAGGCCTATAAGTTGAAGAACGATAAAAGTAGAGAAAAGAAAGATCAATTTCTCTTTTGGTTCTATGATCTCCCAGTTTAAAAAACAAAAGTATTTGTTCTCACTCATGAGTGGGAGTTGAACAATGAAAACACATGGACACAAGGAGGGGAACACACACACCAGAGCCTGTCAGCCGGTTGGCGGGGAAAGTGAGGGAGAGCATTAGGACAAATACCTAATAATGCATGCGGGGCTTAAAACCTAGATAATGGGTTAATGAGTACAGCAAACCACCATGACACATGTATACCTATGTAACAAACCTGCATGTTCTGCACATGTATCCCAGAACTTAAAATTTAAAAAAAAAAGAAAAGAAAAAAAATAGTATTTTCCTATGATTTTCTTGATATTCTTCTAGTCTATCACACAAATAAAAATTTATACCTCTTTACAAAGTAAAAAATAATGGAGACTTATGGAATTGTGGCAACAGCTATTGCATCTCCAAAGTCTCGTATAGGTGGAGACATGGCCTAAGCTTCCAAGATTTTGCAGTGTGTGTTTCTAGTTAGCTGTCTTCTAAAGCCTTTCATTTATCAGTAAATGGAGGCATAACTCCCAGGTAGGGAGATCCAGGTTTCTCAACACCCTTTACAATGTAAAGATAGTCATCAACAAAGTTGTTTTCTACCACTTTTATAGATCCATACCAATTCATTAGAGATTGCATAATCTTAATGAAACCGGCACACAGGCATAATTTGTCATTAAGAATAAATTGTATGATGATGAACTTAGTCAATTAATCAAGGCACTGAAAAGGGCAATTGTTTGAAAAATGAAAGTACTGTTCTGGTTGTATTGATTATGTACTTTTTTGGAAACAAACACATTTTACAATGCAGTAAAACATTCCTTGTTTTTAATTAAACTTTTTTTTTCTTTTTTTTTTTGAGATGGAATCTTGCTCTGTCAACCAGGCTGGAGTGCGGTGGCATGATCTCGGCTCACTGCAACTTCTGCCTCCCGGATTCAAGCTGTTCTCCAGCCTCAGCCTCCCAAGTAGCTGGGACTACAGGCACGTGCCACCGCGTCCGGCTAATTCTTGTATTTTAGTAGAGACCAGGTTTCACCATGTTGGCCAGGCTGGTCTCGAACTCCTGACCTCAGGTGATCCACCTTGGCCTCCCAAAATGCTGGGATTATAGGTGTGAGCCACCACACCCAGCCAATAATTATTATTTTTGATAGTTGTTATTATTACTGCTGGTAGTGATCGATGGTATAGATATATCACGTTTTAACATTCAGCTGTTGAATGACATCTGGCTTGTTTTTAGTCTTTGCCTATTGCTAATAAAGCTGTTATGAACATTCTTGTACAGATTTTTTTTAACGTAAGTTTTTATTCTCTGAAACAAATGCCCACTAGTGCAATTGCTGGGTTGGACAGTAATTGCAAATTTGAATTTTTAAGAAACTACCAAACTCTTTTACAAAGTGACTGGACAATTTTACATTTCCACCAGCAATACGTGAGTGATCCAGTTTTTCTACCTTTTTTAACATTACATTAATCCACGTAGATGGTAAAATTAGTAAATAAATAAATTACCCACATAAGAACAGCCTGTAAAAAGCCAGTTCAAAAAGTCCAAAGGGTAAAAAGGCAAGAGCTATATAAAAAAGCCACCTCAGATGAGGGCGTCTCTCTGACTGTGTCTCAGCTCACAGGGCTTCCAGGTATGCAACAACTGCTTTATACTTCTGAAAAGTACCTGATACACCATAAAGCTTTTTTCAGCTAAATTAAAGTAAATAATTTTTTTTTTCCCAAAACAGGATCATGGCCTATAAAATGCTTCAAGTAGCCCTGTGTTCAACATTGCTTATCGGTAAGAACCTATTTCTTTTTTATTTATCATGTCTCCTACAACCATCAGATTGAGAATACCTTTTGTCTTTTTAAAGAAATGAACAAACACGTTTTTATCCATAGGCCTATTCTACAGCACTGTGGAAACCAAACTATTGTAGAATGCTGTGGTTTTGAACATGTTAATGTTAACTCTGTGTGTGTGATCATTTTATTTCTAATTATATATTAACATGATACTGTTGCTAAGAAGTCTAATTGCTGCCTCCAAAGAAGCGCTGTTATGTCCTTGAACAAAGAAAATTTTAAAATATCTTTCAGAACTATAATACTTACATAGTACCATTATGCGAAGACCTCAAAGTACTTTGGGAACATGAATTAATTAACCTTTAGGGCAAGCTGTAGCTCAAAGTGGTGCTTTAAAGGCAGATCAAGGAAGGCACCAGAGGGCAGGCGATTTGCTGCCAAATTGACCCAGTAACTCAGTGGCTTCTATCAAAATTGAACTGAGAGGTCATTTGTTTTGCTTGTAACAAAAGCTGAAAACACAAAGATATAAATTATCTTCATGGTTAAATCTCTATAATTTATAAATATTTCTGATGCAGATGCTTGCATTAGAATAAACTTTTCTTCTATGAAAAGCTTGAGACTCATGCACAAAAATTACATTTTTCCTGAAGCCCTTCCCACACATAGATAGATAGATGTATTTATGTGTATATATATAAAATAAGCCTTCAATTCCTAAGCATAGAAATAATTTTAATAATGAGTTTTAATCATCAATATTGCAATTTGCTGTTGGGTCATGTTTAAATCTGTGATTTAAACATTTTTAGCCAAGTTATTATAAGCAGTTATAACCAAGGCATATCCAATCATACAAAATTACAGCCCACATTGCCAGATGAAGAAAATGAGGCTGGCTCAGTTTAAGTGAGTGTCTCAGAGCACATTGTAATTTAAAGTCATGGGCTAGTTATAACTCACCAGTGTCATGCTTTGCTTCGACCACTGATCCATGCAGTTGACTTGAGAAGGGGTAATGGTGGTGGATGCCTGCAAGGCTAAAGCAATGCCGGCTGGTCCACATTCACCTATGAATGCTGCAGGGTCAAAAATATCTGACAAAGGAAATTGTTCAGCAAAATTTTTAAAGAGGCTTCAAAGACTTTCTTAAGAAACAAGTTTGAGTTTACTTCAACTCCAACTGAGATACAGATGTGTCTACCTATAAAGACAACTGGTTTGATTGACTCGACTCTAAAAAAAATAATAATAAAGTTATCTAGTTGAAGTTTATGAAATAACAAGTTGAGAACTAGAAACTAAGGACAGAGGTGCATGTACACTGCTGGGTTAGCCCTTCAGATCTCAGGAAGGAAGCCTTCGCTGCTTATAGATTGAGGAGACTGACGTCTTCAGAAGCGGATTCATTCATTACAGTAATTGGTTTAGCTGACAGTTTCTACATCATATAGCTCTAGAGAAGAAAGTAATAGCTTGAATGAACTTTCTTTGCTTCTTTTCCTCCACATTTTCTTTTAAGAATACAGCCTATTCAGGAGAATGGCGTAAACCCGGGAGGCGGAGCTTGTAGTGAGCCGAGATCCGGTCACCCACTGCACTCCAGCCTGGGCGACAGAGCGAGACTCCGTCTCAAAAAAAAAAAAAAAAAATACAGCCTATTCATCTGTACTTCTCTGAAGCCCTTTGCTTATAAGAAAACCATTTTTTTTTAAAGTTTCTTTCTTTTTTTTTAAGTTTTCTCTATTATAGCTTAGTTGTCCAACAAATTACTTTTCTTTAGAATTTGATTTAAGGGAGGTAGGGAGAAGGTCTTATTATCCATTTTCCTGATGGGAATGCTGAAGCCAAAAACAATGAAAGGCCTTATTCAAGTAATTAAATTTATGGGCAGAGTTGCCAAGTTATTTTATTGATTAGTTTCAAAACAGTAACTTATACACATTGGAGCTGATTCTCTGGCCAGAGAATTAGAAGTTCAAGTGTTGTGACTTGATTTAAAAAATAAGCATATAAACTCTCTTTAACATTTAGGTCAAGAATTGCCTTCTTTCAGAAATGAAGAAGAGTTACAGAAAAAAAAATTTTAATTGCCTTCTTCTATAATGAAATCAGCAAATACTAATGCTACTAATTTAAATTCCTTTTATGTGTCAGGGGCTTTGCATAGGCTATCTTAGTCCATTCTCACGACCACTCTGAAAATATTAATAGATGCTATGCTCCTCATTTTACAAAAAGAGGGAACTGAGGGCTTAGGGAATTCAAGTGACCAAGCTGCATGTCAATCAATGGTAGACACTGCATTCATGTCCAAATCCTACATTTACCACTTATGAGAACAAAACTCTTCTTTCTGCTACACAAACTCTCCCCTCTGGCATTGCAGTGCCTGACATGGGCTAGCAGCAGCTCACAGAGCAAGACCTCCTCTTGAAAAAGTGGTGGAGGCAGTATCGTAGCCATTGCTTCCACAAGAAAGGACCAGGAGTTAAGAAGCTGGGTGAGCTTACCTGACAAAATTGAGCAGAACCAGGACACCACTAATGACTTTCAATGACAGTTCCTAGTTGTACTAATGGTGAAGAGTAGCAACAGGGCATTTATTAAAACCAGACAGCTTTATATCACATGCAGAGGAAATATGGAAAACAGACATCTTTGAAAAGTGTTTTTCTAAGTGAACCAACTCTTGAACACTATTAAGAATTATATTGGTGTTTTTTGTTGTTTTTCGTTTGTGTATTTTTTAAAGGATTCCTTTCATTGTTCTGCTAAAATGAAAAATAGATTTATTTTCCCTCAGCAATCATGAAACCCTGATTGGATTTGGCAGCTGGAGTTGACCCACACATGAAACGATTTGGGGGTCCATGCCCATGTTGTTGACCTGCAATCAGATCTGTCCATAAAGTGCAAGTATGTCTTCTGGTTTTAGACAGGCAGAACAGTAAGCTGCCTTTGGTCTGTTTTTCCTCTTGTAGTTCCAGCTCTTACTTTTCACTCCACAGTTAGTAACCAATGCCAGTTTGTCTTGAAAGATTTTTTATTTGCTTTGTTTTTTGACAAGAGCTTTTAAGCTCACATATTCTAACACAAAACCCTGTCAGCATTCCCAATCCCTTTCTTTTTGCTTTCTTCTCTACCATAGGAAGACTAGCCCTTTTCAGTCATCCCTGCAGCCCTCCAATTCTTTAGAGATTCTGTATTCTCTGACACAGTTTTGGTTTATTTTAAAAGACTTTGTTCTTAATTTTACCTACTCACTTGGGCTTATGATTGATTGATACTCTCAAGAAGATACATAATGAGAATAAACTGGAAAATAATTTGGTTGAAAAAAAAATGTTTTAGGAAAATCCAGGTTCTTGTCACATGACCAGGAAGGATTAGGTTCGCAGACACTTTGAAGGGTGAGGGAGATGGAATTTATCAGGGAAAAGAGTAAAACTACACAGCAAAGTGGGAGATGGGTTCCTGTTAACAGGCCCTCATATCACAGATTGAATCCCAGGTTCCTACACAGGAATAGGAAGGACCAGCCCCTCCCGCTGCAAACGGCCTGAACTTCTGTGGCTCCACCCCTTCTCCCAGTGAGCAGAGCGGTCCAAGGTTCTCCGGGGACCCCTTTATACTTGGTTGTCTCAGTGTCATTGCTTATGACTAGATTCACTGAGCAGTCTGGGTGCTGTAGAAAAACTGTTTTCCTACACATATAGCATCATCTGTCATGGCACTGGAGATGGGGATCCCATCAACACATACAGGCAATGACCCAGAAAGAGTCACTATTGAACCAAATACAATGCTGCCTTTCGTGAGTTATGAATGTCCATGTCTACAAGATTATAAGTAATAAAAGAACCACCAGCTCCAAAGACACGTCCAAGGAAATTATGTGGCCATAAGAGTGAGTGCCAACATTGTGTATGTGTGTTGAGAGCAGGTTAGAACAGATTTAAGTTAAACCCAAGTGACACCACTTCCTGTTTACTTTTCAAAATACTCAACATGTCAGCACTTGTAATGCCAGTAAAGTGGAAGTTACTGAGTTAAAAGGTCAGTTAGAAAGCATCCTGTTATACCTTTGTTCTTTGTTGTTGTTAGTTTGTTTTGTTTTTGTTTTTGTTTTTTGAGACGGAGTCACTGTCTGTCACCCAGGTTGGAGTGGAGTGGTGCGATCTCAGCTCACTGCAACTTCCATCTCCCAGGTTCAAACGATTCTCCTGGCTCGGCCTCCAGAGTAGCTGGGATTACAGGCGTGCGCCACCATGCCCCACTAATTTTTGTATTTTTAGTAGAGATGGGGTTTCACCATGTTGCCCATTCTGGTCTCAAACTCCTGACCTTATGTGTTCCACCAACCTCGGCCTCCCAAGCTGCTGGGATTACAAGTGTGAGCCACCCTGCCCGGCCCCTGTTAGACTCTGAACAGGACACTAGAATATGAGAGCTGGTCCGCAGTTCAGCACCCCTCTCCGTTTTTTCCAGTGTCCTTTCATCCTCTTTGCCTTCTGTTGTGTCACTTCCTTTATCTGCCCTGGGGCTTTTCACTTTTTGTCTTTTGTAAACCCCCTTCATTTTTCTCTCTTTCCTTTGATTTTTTTTTCTTGATTTCTCTCTCCATCTCTTTCCTTCTATTCTCCTCTTTCTTCACGTTTTTCTCTCATAACCCAAATCGCTTCTCTTCCATTATCTGTCTCTCTCTCTCCTTTTCTCACCAATTTTTATCCAAGTTCAAGCAAAGTGAGAGAATACGTTCTACTAAACACAACTCTTCTGTCTTCCACTACACATTTTTGGGTCAGTGACCAACTGTAATGGGGAAATAAATAAAATAACTATGCCATTGTGTGTAAAAACTACTTACTTGGTGGGGAGCAGTGGCTCACACCTGTAATCCTAGCACTTTGGGAGGCCAAGGCGGGCAGATCACTTGAGGTCAGGAGTTCGAGACCAGCCTGGCCAGCATGGCAAACCCCGTCT